AAGCAGGTGAACAGTATCAATACAATATTAGGCAGGTGGGCGATGGGATTGTCATCAACCAGAGAAAAACATTTGACTTCGTACCAAATTCTCATACCTTACATCAACGGTAATGTAACTAAGATAGACAGGAGCATTACTATGAAATCTTGGAAGTGAAAGGTTTACCTAACGGGCAAACCGTGCTAAATAAATAATGTGAGGTATTTCTGTACGATGAATCGCCAGTCATTAAATAATATTATTAAAGACGACTGTAATTTTGAGCGACTAACGAGGTAAAGGAACCTATTTTAAAGTTCTGTTGATCAACAAAAATATATCTTAATATCTAGCGATCGAAATGAAAATATTTTCTAGACTCATTATACCCTATACTCTTCGCCACGGTTCGATTCGTTGACTAGCAAATTCAAGGACTGTTGTAGCCAGTTTCAAAACATATGCTCCCTTGTTAACGGGAAAAACCAAAAATCCTCTTCGCTTGAAACAACGGTTGCTATAATGTTATTTCCAGTTGACCAATCACAAACTGACCTCTTACAACGGACCAATCAAAAAACCCCAAGTAGAAGAAACGTGTTGCAGGCACAGGAAAACGGCAGCCAGCGAAATACGCAACGAAACGAAAGCAACGTACATAAGAGTAAACTTTGCTGCTAATTGGTTACAAGTACTGTAAACTTACTCTGATTGGTTTAACATTTTTAGCCAATAGTAGCTACGAAAACTTAATCTAACGCTATCGCAAGGAAACTTTAAGTAGACCGTCACTTTTTGAGATTTAATTTTCTGACATGTCTGAATTTTTTTCGGAAGCCCCAGAAGTGCTTACTTGTTCTTACATAGTAAGAAAAACATCACAATTTTGCAAAAAAGATTTGAGCGGACGGGTAGTACCACCCTAGCTTTTACAGAGAAATTAATATCGTTACACGACTATTGAAAAAGAAACACCCAAATTCTGACACAATATATATGTACCTGGACGAACCCTAATCACTTAACTGAAAATAACTATAGTAAACATTTGATGATGCACAGCGGTTGAACGTCGGGCATGCGCGAAAGAATCAATTCTGACAACCGCGCGCCAATTTCCCGCGCTAAATTTCCAGGGAAGCAATGAACGACAGAAAATTGAAATGTTGACAGAAATCTGTAAAAGACAACAAAAGTAGGGAAAAGAAAGGCTCGAAACTTCTCGCACACAAAGCCTAGTTTAAGTGCGGGTATCTTGTTTATTTTGAGCTTTACCAAGAAAAGTTATATGCTTTTAAAACACGGTGACTTACTGACTTGTTTGTGACAGCCTGAAAAAAGGCCACCTGTTCATAACAACGCTTGCACATTCCCAGACGTTCTACCGCTGTGTTTGATGATGTAGTCAATTCTTGGTAGGAATCGGAATACTTCGACAAGGCAAAACAGCTGCCTATTACACTTGGTATCACAGAAAAACTATCAGGCATTAGCAGCCGTTGTCAAGAAATCTTTGTGGAGCAAAACTTCGAGAATACAATCATTCTCACCAATCAAAAACTACCGTGAGGTTTATCGGCCAGCGGCTTGCCGTAAAAAGCACGTGCGTTAAAACTTTAAGGACCCAGTTGAGCTCGTTCTTTCAATCCCGTTCCATGCTCGAATTTGGAACGAGATAAATTTCACGCAGAGATGGTTTGGCTATATTATGGGCGTTTCCCGCTCTCCTTTCCCACCAACACAACATTTCAAGTCTTTCCCCTAAAATTCCGATCACGTTTTACGAATCGACGTACCATGCGCTAAAATGCGCGTTGGACACAAGCTATACGCGTACTACATGCGTATTCAACGCGGTCAAATAGAGTGATTAAGGTACAAAAAGTACGTCAGTGCAAATACAAATGTTTCTGGTATGGCTGCATTTTCACAAACCAAATTTGCAAGTCGCTTCGCAACATTTTCTTTCTTCAATCAGCAAATTTTATATTTTTTCTTTCATTTTTCACCGCCTGCGGTCAATATTTGGGACTGTCCGAGACAAGTCAGTAAAATAAATTAATTCCAATGTACACTTACTACGAGTGATTCAATTTACAATTTTGAAGACTCGATCTTCAATTTAAAACAAAAATACGTCATGACATTTCATGTTAAACACGAAACGACATCATCGTTACAGCCGCAATTACAGCAAATTTCAAGTTCCTTCTTCTACAAGAAAGAATGCGGAGAAGAACAAAGCAACGTCTCTCCTACACAAATTGTAAGTTAACTTTTTTTTGGTCAAATTTCAGGCTTCCTTCCAGGTTTTTTTTTTTTTTTTTGGAACAGAAACATTTGCACTTGACTGACTGACTAGTATTTAAATTATGTATTTAATTTACAGATAACATCACTTAAATAATAGATTAATAGAACGTTAATTATAGTCAACTATAAATTGCGTCGATTTTTGACCTACTCTTGTTAAAGAACCACCCTTCGCCCGGCCGTTCTTCTTTATTCCAACTAACCATTTTGTGTTTTTGTATAACAAAAACGAATGATATGTGTTTTCTTCCTGAACTTCCTTAAAAACGGAGTTTAGCGACGGCTCTTCCTATTTCGAAAGAAGAAAAAATAAACATTGTGAGGATGATGATGGATGTTTAAAAGCCGTAAAGCAGCGGTAGAATTAGGTTGAAAAGAGCGCGAAAATGTCCTTTTTTCTATTTGCACGTGCGTAGCGATTACAACGCTGTGGCCAATCACAGCATTGGTGACAAAGCAGTCAGCCAATCAAAACTTGAAAGACATACGGCGTTAAGCGCGGGAAAATAATATGGGCTAATTCACCTGTAGCCCTTGAAGCTTGCGTGTAACAGACCATTTTACAGTTGTGTATTTAGTTGCCAAGCCTTTGATTTGAAGGGAGGCTGACGGTGACTTTGTTGTGATAGAGACCAGTATCTAGTTAGCATGATAACAAATAAATTTGCATTTGAAAAGCAGCAACATCTCGATCATAACAAGGTCACCCTTAGCCTCACTCCTGTTCAAAGGCTTGGCCATCAAGCCCACAACTGTAAAAAGGCTATTGGGTTGAGGACAAATCACTCTTTCTAATCAATCAGAGGGTAGCGACAGGAAAACCTTGTAACTCGATCGAGATTACTCGGGCTGTATTCAAAACGGCCACTTTATCCCCATCTTCTAACAATCGCATAAGAGTGAGCTTTTTTACTTACTATTCCGCGTAAAACTCCTTTTTCACTGAATGATAAATATCTTTGACTTGTCAAACCCAGGATCATAAGCAACCCAGTCCCGATGGAGTGGAATTCTAAATCACCTGTTGGAACATGAAGAAGAAAAAAGCAGGTTAGTTTCCTGGAATAACGCTAGGTCTCTGGAGTTGTACTGTTGCCGGCTGTATGACGTCATACAACACGGCGATCAAACGTCTAACATGCGCAAATGGATCGATTTTGGTCAGCTGCGCGGCAACTTCCCGGGAAAAATTTCAAAGGATAGCATAAGACAGGCCTGAAATTTTTTTCAGGTCTGATTTTCACTATTGCTCAAATAGTGCTTTACTGCGAAGGATCGTGCACATATACGTTTCATAACCGCAGTTCATACATATGTTTCATATGTTTGTTGTTATAAGAAACAACTATTGCAAAACAAAGGGGAAAAAATAAGTTCCTGGCTTATGTTTGTCCATAACTCTGTGAAACAACTTGGTTCTGACAGCCTAAAAGCACGCCTCTTATCTAGCTCTTCGCTATTACCACATGCGTAAAGGCACAGGCGTGATACGATGTCGAGTTTTCTGTCAGATCAGGTTGAGGCCCGTACAAGTGCTATAAAAGCCCACTCAAGAATGAAATGAGCGGTTGTAGTGCGGGAAAAAAATCAAGTCTGATTCGTTGTCGAATGACAGGGTGTAGATAGAGGGAGTGCCAGGTTCCCGTGAACTCTTCCCCCTGAGCTGTGTACAAACAAAGTGCGCTTTATCCGCCGTCGAATGTCAGAAGCATAACTAAGAGGGAGGTCCCCTTTTAAGGTGATTTTTTTTCAATCCATGGCTGGGTAATCTTCCCACCCACCCCACCCCTTTGTCCCTTCCAAGGCATCCACCACGCATTCTTCACAATTTCTCCGTACCAATTTATATTCTAGGGGGGAGGGGGCAGGGAGAAGGGAGGGGCTCTGAGGCACGATTTCTGCGTTTTCTCGACTCCTTTTTTCGATCCACTGGAGTCTCTTTGGGGAAAAAACGTGGGTCACGTCCCAAACAGCGGCGGTTGACCGAGCCATAGAGGCACTATAAGAGTTGAGTGTCTTGCCTGAAGATCACATCAGGTGAATCACGTCACACTTTATAACAAGACCTTTCGATTCAAACTAGGTCACTACGTTTCGTGATACCTTCGTCTTTTCTCAGTTAAAAAAATAATAATAAGAAGGAAATTAAATTTATCAAAGCTCTTACCTAAAGGAGAATAACTGTTTGTAGTCCCATCCACGGTTCCATCACGATTAATTCTTAAAAGGTAACCATTGCGATTAAATAATTTTCCCCTCCGCACGTAAGTGGGAGGTTTTTTATGCAAGTTCCTGTTTATTTGTTGTTTACTACTCGTCAGTCTCATATACACTTGATGCTCCGGTGAGATGTGTGCCCGCTCTATGCTATCCGAATCATCTTCGGAACCACTCGCCTCCCATCGGCTGCCCTTCGGCGAGTTTCCGGCTGGCAGAGCTTCCGATGAAAAGCAACTTAAGTGGGAGACACACAGCAACAAAATCCAACTCAGCGCATTTGCCAATAAAACCTGGAAAAAACAATTACAATGTGACTCAGTAACTACGAAAATCTGGGCTATAACAATGGTTTAAATTTGTGTTTGAGAGCGTAAAGGCTCAATAAGATGGTCGCGTTGCATGTTTACATGCTAGCGCGTTTGCCTCAACTCATTCACTGTTTCTGGCTTTCAATTCATTACCAGCTTTAGCCAGAGTTTTCTCTCGATAAATGGAAACAAGGGGTAAACTCTTGTGAAATTCCCTGCTAACTTTTTAAAGGTTTCGCTCGGGAAAACAGCCAGCTCTTACCTTCATCAGCAACTTCAGTGAATTAACATGGCCAAGTTTGATCAAAACAGTTTTATGATTTATGGTGATAAAGACAATAAGTGTTAGTTTTACAAAGAAACAATAAACATTCTAATTTACTAGACATTGTGTCCGTTGGAATGATAATCTTTCACCTGGCACTTTTGGGAAATAATAATAATATTTTTGATAAAGATTCTTTTTTTGAACTCGCCGTCACTAATAGTTAAACGTGCTTTAATAATTCACTTGGGGTTAGCTACAACAGTCTAGACGTTCTTTTTCTTTTCTTTTTTTTTTTTCTTTTTAGAGTCATATGTGATTTTTAGAAGATTTTTGGATTTTTTTAACATTTTAGGATTTTCAGACGATAACGTTCAAAAATACACAGCCGACAGCATAAAAACAGATATACTTGTTTTTTTTTTATTCATTGTTTCCTAACGGGCTCCATGAAAAACGTCAAACCCTGCGTCATCCTTTTGGTTTGAAAGAGAAAAATGTATCTTGGCTTCACTTCACTCTTTCGGCAGAACCGTTACCTTTTCGCTCAATTCCCCACAGAAATCAGAACATTAAAAATGATTTGGCTTAAAGTATATACATGAAGTAGAAAGCCGCTGGACATCAGAACGTTCCGGAAAAAAACATGTGCAGAGATGTGACTTCTACCAAAGGTGCTAACGAGGAGAGACAAAGAAATGTTTCTATAGGGGCAGGCCAAGGTCAGCCTCACCTCAAAACAAGGGTTGTTTGCTTTTAAACTAGCCATTGTTTGCTTCAGGCAGATCACCTGATACGAATCAGGTGATTCTGTGTACGAGTGTCAAAGAGAACTTCAATAGGGTGGGGAAGGAAGATTTTCTCGAACACCATTTCTCAACAACCTTGTGGTCCAACGTCCGCGCGTGAGAAAGTTGTACACCTTACGTGGCGTGTTTAGAGGCTGTCAGAACCAAGTTGTCATACAAGAATTGTACATAACTACACAAACCAGTAAGTCACGAAGTTTGCAAACCGTATAAATTTTTAGATAAAGCTCAATATGTTAAACGAAATGGTGAATCAGGAGGAAACCCGCGGTTAAATAAGCTTCGTGTACGAAAATTCTCGAATTTTTCTTTTCCCTACTTTTTTTTTCCTTTCTACAGATTCCCAAGAACGTTTTACAGTAATAATCTTTTCACATATTGTGCGAGACTGCAGTGGCCCTTTAAACTTCTGCGTAGGAAAATTGACACGCAGCCGGCCGAAATTGATCGCCTTGCGCATGCCTTTAAGTTTAACCGCTGTGTTGTTCCACCCCCTCACCAATCCCAGAACTCTTTTGTCAACGGCCGTAGACATAAAAAAAAAATTAAAAAGAACCCACTTGAAAGTACGTGTCATGGAAGTTCCGTCAATCTTACTAAATTTAGAAACCCCCCATGCGTGAATTCTATAAGCGTTTCTCAAGTATCCTAAAAAAAGGGTTTTGTCATTTTAAGTTAACATCTTCATCACAGAAATAAACTCAAGGCGAAATCGTCCTACAAGGGTGCGATGACCGAATGTGGTCAGGGAGAAAAATTGTGTGGGAAGATATTTGTTTACAAATGTATTCCTCTGCATTTGCATCGGCGACTTAGCGTTTCGGTGCTTTGATTTCCATGCGATAAGCATTTGGTATGAAAAGATTGCACTTGATAAAGATTCAAATTTTACAGTGGTTTTGTCGCGTCACATAAATTCCGAAGTATTGGATACAAGGCTATTTTCAAAGTACCCTGTATACTGGCAGTTGTGTTCTGAGAAAATGAGCTTTACTCTCTCAGATTTTTGTTGTATCACTACGATATTTTTTTCGAACCTTTGTTTGCATAATGATGGATAAACGCTGATGCAATCAATGTTAGTTTCGAGCCATGATTCTTTAAACTCGGAAGTTTAAAGAAGAATCTCGCCAACGTGAAAAAATCTAATTATCGAGGACTTGAAATTCTTTAACCAAAAACATGACCAATATGACAAAACTATAGTGTGAAAAATCACATGACGAGTGTTTGGAATTCTTTGCTCTTTCACAACTAAAGTTGCGGTTATATTAATAATGCGTGCGTAAATAACATCTAAAAGTCTTCCGGTCGATCGGACAGCAGTCATAGGAAACACATGATGAGACATAATTTGCAAGTCAGCGAGGTTGCATTCTGTAATTATTACCTAGAAAATTGCTCTTAATTGCTGTCAGTTTAGTCGTTAAGTGATCAGAATACATCTAAGTGTAATAAGAATCGTTGAACAATTATCGATTCCCTTGAATTGACCAGTAAAATTGACCGTAAAGTGGACGTCACTTTGACAACGGATCTGCAAGGAAATAAGCGATCAAGCAAGGCGGGAAAGTTATTTGTTAAAAACACTACATTTCACCGCGGGATCTGGCAATATTCTGTCCCTCTGAAGTTCTTAAATGCCAACAGCAATTAGTAGATATCGTTTCCAAGAATTTATGCAAGTGTGATCACTGAAATAAACAGTTCGAAGGAACTTTTAAGATTCCTCAAATCTGATGGCAGGTTGTGCTGTCTGATTCATAAAATGAAATGTATCATCGCGTGAAATCCCCACGGTAAGAGCTTGAAATCGATGCAGAAATCTCGAAAATGACGTCGTGATTATCAAAATATTGACAACACAAAGCTCCACTTCAATCAAACTTTTCGCTTGAAATTTTGACCGACAATTGTCCAAAATACGTGTCCAAAAGCTTATGATTTTAATAGTTACCTTACAATAATACTTTGGCATGCCATCATTTTTATCTATCATTGGCGACGGAATTTTTCACGAAAAAAATAAGGCAATTTTCGTTCGCTTGGCAACGAATTTTCAAGTTGGAAGTCACGAGACATCTCTCCTCATTAATGCTTTAAGACTGGTGAAAGTTCTCGATAGATCGCCTTCTAAATCCTTTTTTTTTTCAACACCACCGCCTATTGTTTCTATTAAAACTGCATATCGCTGGGCATTTCGACCGAGAAGCAAGATGAAGCCAATATCTTGTGATCAACGCCAGGCGTGTGAAACTACCAAACTAAGGAAGTCTGCACGTGGAATTTCACTGCCATTCAATTGCACACACAAAACGTTTCCTAAAGGTTCCGTAGGTAAAAATCAATTTCAGCCGAGCGTTCGAAGCGAAAAAATCCATAAACGTAATTCATCTTGAGGCTAAGAAGTACTTTACTATCAAAATAACCCCCCTCAAAAGAATTTCATTCATAAGTTTGTGGGCGCCACTGTTTGTATACACACGGAACGCCAATTACTATGACCACTCGTCCACAACTAAACGAACTACAACGATTTTAAAGCGCGATTTTTTCATTGTATGAACTGAAAGCGAATCATAATATTACGAAATTATTAAGGTACAATAATGAAAACTGTTTGAAACTCTCTTTGGGAAAATACCAAGCGACAATTTCCTCAAAACGGCGTTCACATATTTTATAATTACCGCTAGCACACGTCAGACAATCTAGTCCGAGTCTTATTCATAGAAATGGAAAAAATCAGTTCTAAATCCCAGAACTGGAGCAATGAAATCTTACCTTGTACATACTACTAGACACTGAGATTTCATGTACTTCGTCGGATCTCTCCTGAAATTATTATTCGTCTCTAGGTAAGCTTATATCTCACCAGGCGAAGATTAAATAACTGATCGGAAATGCGTCGGACGATTTACCGGCGCGTCCCGAAAATAAATTAGCCCACCCACTTACTTCGAGGGGAAAGTGTAAATAAAATTCGGTTAAATTTGACATTCGATAATAATTATCGAACAAACAAATTTAAAATCTTTTAATGGTTCAAAGTTTTTTGACAAAAATTTGGCATCCTTTTTGGAAGCTTCTGATGCGACAAACAACTTTGTCGTGTCGTTTTTTTCCCGCCAATCCCGAGAGGAGATGAGGAGATGACGTTTGGACAGCGGAGATCCCCAACACACGATAAGATTTCATTTACCGTGACATTTTTATCATCTCCTAATTTTCGCTAAGACGTCCTCTCCTCAATAAATCCTATCAGCTTCCTCGCTGAAAATTGTTGACTTGGCTTTTATTATGTGTGTTTCTATAACTACACTCCCACCACACAACTATTATATTATACGTACTATGCATAATTTGGAGACTCTTTGATTTCGTGAAATACTCATTCACGATCTGTCACTCCAGATTTCATACGATGTCTTTCTAATCACATTGCCTGACTTTTGTTTTTCTTCAAGTTGTCTACTCTGAAATTGCCATGGTGTCAGTGAATTACGTAATGGCCTTCAACTACGAGTTAAAAGGTCATCGACTTTCTCGACAAAACGAATTAATTTACATCACATGACGCAAATTGGCATTTATATAAGACTAAAATACTTCTTTGCGTCAGAACTATCCATGTGTTGAAAGTACCAGTTTCAGTTGATAAAACATCGAATGATATTTACGATTATCATCTCGTTTTACGAAGATCTCGCCATTTCTTGAAAATTCAGTGGGTAGTAAATTAATGCCCTTAATTTTTGCTGTTTTGAAAATTATTACAATCCCTTGGGAAATTGAACATTCTAGTGTCTTCGTTAATCATTTCACTGAACAAAACCTTTCCCCTGAATGGAGGAAATTGTCGTTTAACGTAATGGACAGCACCTGTTCCGTGTCGCAATGGCCCGCCCACGCGGCACATGTTGGCCTTACTGTATCAGTGCATCTCTGACTGCGCGCGAGTCAAAACAATTTTTTGTACCAAAGACTTCCTATACACACACTGCAGGTGCGAAAGAATGAAATATAACGAGGCGAAAAAAGCTCATGGAGCGAGTCATTCATCAAACCATGTCTGATTTTTAGAGAACAATGCGACTCCAGATGGTTCTCTTTCATAGAACACGTAATATAGCATGAGCAAATTAGCATAGATCATTATTCAGAACCTTTTTTTGTGAAAGTTTAAAGGGTTCAAATAATGAAAATGGCGGATCCAAATAAAAAGACATTTAAGACTTCAAATTTATCTCGTATCCAAAATTATCACTGAGAATGAAATCGTGTATGATAAATTAATCACTGACAAGGGCTACCGCTCATAACGTCGGCTTTAGATTACAGTGGCAAATTTTACATTATCAACTCAGTTGATAAAACCAAATTATGTTTACTAAGGTAAGAGCTTCATTTCCCATTAAATCTTAAAAGTACGGAAACTCACTTTAAGAAAATTCACCCCCATATTTAAATATTTCAGTTTGAATTTTTTCACAGGACGACGTTAACTTAAATTCAGTTATCTCTAGTTTTAGACGACAAAATGAAAACTGAAATTTTCACCACAAATATTCCATCGTCAGTTTACCGAGAAACATCTAAGGTTTCACAAACCGTTATAATTTGCATCTCTGAAAGATGGGGTATAAGACTTGGGTGGATATTTCCAGCTGTATCTCTTATTTTGACAAGTGGATAAGAGGATGCAATTTTTAAGTCTCGGCTCGTTTCCATGTGTTCTGGTGACTATTGCGGTACATGGCAGTGAAAAGACTGACGTCACAGGAGGCAACTCTATCGTTTATTGACCAGGACTACTCTTTGGGACTCCGCGCCACTATATGCGACAAATTGTTAACCCAATTAGGCTTTCCTTGACTTAGTTATGCAAAATATTGTCCTAAGCTATATACCTTTGAGAATATTAGTACATCTCTACGGGCGTCTCGGAAACGAGTACTAATGATCTAGCTCTTTATCCCAATGGTGGCGCATGAAAGCGGAATTCCTCAGTTTTTACCGCCGGAACTCTGAATTTCTTACTTTACCCACGCACGCGATGAAACAAATGATAACTCTTTTTTATACAAGTCCAGAAAATTGAAACGAAGGTGATTTTTTCAGTTATGAATGGCCGGACATGGAGGAACGCCCATGCTTTTCTCAAAATGTTGTTCCGCCTACAACAGCTAAAAAGTCAATTGATCAAATAAATCAAAGGGAGATTGTATGAGTTTTAAATTAACAGACGTGACTGCTCAATGACGCAGCGAGATATTGCAATATAGATCATGGCCTATTCTGCCAGCACCACAGGAATACCAGCTAAAAATCGGAGAATATCAAGGCAAACTACAAAAGCCGCCTAGTGACAATCACGATACTTTCTGGTAAATGTGTCGGTAAGATATATTTTGAGGGAAAATTTAGTTTTTCAAACTGTGTATAACTCATCACAAGCGATAAATACTAAAAAAAATCATGAAAATAGAATAACTATAAGTTGTCATTAGGGATAATAACTTGTTATTTCAGGCTACAGCTCTTAGCAAGTTGGATTGAAAGGACGTCTGTAGTTGTGAAATGCAAGCATAAAGGTGTCACTTACGTAAAGATCGGGAGGAAATAAGCACAAGTTGATCCGACTGAAAATCGTATGCTGTGACATGCAGTAACCGTACGTGATGTGTTTAATGATAAAGCAAAAACGAAAACATTTTGAGAAAAAAACATTTCCTGCGACAGAATTACACTAGGACACACTAGAAATACATACAACCTATGATATTGATCCAACTTCTAACGGCGAATGCGTATACGCTACAATGAACTGTACTCTTCACGGGAATGAAAACGTAACTGCACTTGTTATTTGATTTTTCTTGTTTTTGTTTTATCGTGGTGTATTACACGATTATTTCTTGTTCTTCACAACAGTGTCTTAATTAAGCAACAAGGTCACTATTTCTCTTCTTTATAACCCGTCATGCTTCGACGGGATGTGAACCTGTTACTTCCAGATACTAGTTGGGCGCTATTACCAAATGAGCTCCGAAGCCAGACAGTGGGAGCCAAGCAAATTTGACCACATATATAGTTAATCATACCATGCTTGTTCAATCGCTTACCTTCTCTTATCAGATCAACAACTGATAAGCGAATGTGATATTGCATTATCAGTCTTGTGTCGACGGTTTATTCGACAAGCAAGGAAGCCAGCGTCTCTCATTGTTTCAACGTAAACAAGTTACATGTTAAAAGAGCCGCAAATAAATAACAAGATATCTAATTCACTTGCAGATAATACTGACCATTGACAAGAATATATTTTGTTTCAAACTCACCATTCTATCGATGTGACTGAAGCAAATTTATGCCTTCGGGTTTCGAAGCTTTGTATCACCTATGAAAAACAAACGCACGCACATGTACCTTTTAACATTTTGACAGCACAGTTATTCTACAACCTTAAGCAGATACGTCAATTCTGAAATCAAAACACATTTCAAAATATCCGTTGATAATGTCACTGTGGGTTTATAGATACGACTCTAGATCTTAAAAAACAAGGAAGTTAGACAGGATTCCGGTACGGTATTGGTTATGGACGACTGACATAGTACGTGAATCTGCTCTGAGTCAAAAACAAAATTTAAAATATTCGTATTTGTAATGTGTTTGTGGTTTGTGGCTACAATTTTAGATCTTAAGGAACTCGGAAGTCATGGATATGCTGAGAAGAGCTTTCTCAGCGGAAGATGTTCCGTCGAAGAAAATATCAGAGCAGACAGGCGTGGCGCGTGAGGCCTCCATAAGTAATTACCAATTACAGGAATGAAAAGGACAGCATTTCTACTGTACCTTACTGGGGAGGTACACATTTCTAAGTATTGTTTTAAAGCTGGACGCATGTCTGCTTGAACCCCAGCACAGAAATCAAGGTGCAGCTTTGAAACGGTTGTCATATTCATATGAAATGTGCGATGCGAAAGGCATGTGAAAAGCTAGTGAAAAAATGTCACATATAGTGTCTTCACAAACTTTTCATTCACGTCCATAACTCATGATGAAGTCAGTGCCCTTTTTACACTACTTCATCATATCTTAAAAAAAACTATTTCAAGCGAAACACTTTCGCTTACGCATGCGTTATAAAGCCTTAACGGCGACTTGTGAAACTCGAGAGTCAATTAATATATTGGTTTGACTTTGAAGTGTCATATTATAAATACATCTGTAACATACTTTCTTAAGACTTGAATCTTTTTAGATAAAAAATATCCGTTATGAAAATACATTGATAAAATTTATATCGTTTATCATATAGAAGATAAAAAAAAAAAACATATATTGCTCGAAGGGCAAATGTTATGTTATGGCATTCATTTCGAAAGCTCAGCATTACCTATTTTTGAAAGCATCTTTTGAATTATGCAAAAGTCTGTTCACGTTTCTCCGAAATTATACTGAAATACGCTGCATGTATCGGTTTAAAATGAATCAATATGACCGAGTAATGTAGTCAGAGTGAAGAATTTTGATGAAAAGCATATCAACAGTTTATCCTCATTCATGGAGAGATGGAGAGTTTTAAAAGCTTATGAACCGGCTTTAGAAGTGCTATAGACATCGACGATATCCAGTTACGTGCTTTGCCTCTAGGGCGAATCCAGTTTGTTTCCGTTAGTCATAAGACAGAATTTTCTTTATTTAGCGGCTTAAAGCGAAATCAAAACTCAACAAATCTGTTCCTGTTTATTAATATGGTATGCATATTTTGGGGGCATTTTTAAATAGTTTTGGTGTCATCCCGTGGGCCGAAAAATGTCGGTTACTTTACCAAGCTAAAACTTCCGTACGAGTGTAAA